CGGCGCGGGCAGGGCGGGCGGCGGCGGGGGCGGCGGGGGCGCCCCCCGGGGCAGATACGGCCCCCCGTCCCGGCGCTCCGAGTACAGAGTCATCGTCTCGGGTGAGTTGTTTCTCTCCAGCTGAACCCCTTTTCCTCCGGCGCGCTCCCTGGTACCCGGTTTCCCTGTGGGGCAGTGATGACTCTCTGCATTTGGCTTCTTCAAAAGCATCACCTCGGGTAGCCCGGAAGAGATGCGCTCTGTGTGGTGCTAGCGGCTTCTCGAGGCAGCTTCTCTCCTTGCTAACTAGTCCCTCTCTTGCTGTGACATGCTGCCGTATGTAAAGGAGATGCTAATGCAGTTCATCTTTAAAGTAATACATTGCTTTTTATTCAGGGCTGCCTCCAAGTGGGAGTTGGCAGGATTTAAAGGATCACATGCGTGAAGCAGGTGATGTATGTTATGCTGATGTTTTCCGAGATGGCACTGGTGTCGTGGAGTTTGTACGGAAGGAAGATATGACCTACGCTGTGCGAAAACTGGATAACACTAAATTTAGATCTCATGAGGTAGGTTTCATGCTTATTTTGGGGCCAGAATTGGATACAAAGGGCTTAACGATGGGATTTGAAGGTAAGGACGTGTGGTTGCCATCGTATTAACACACAGAGCACCCAACCTAAGCCCGTAGCCAGTTTATTGTTAACTAGGCTTCGAAGACTTGATGTCTGTTTCTGTGCTTTGATAAACAGTATCTTGGATCTGTCAGCATGCCTAAAACAATGGCCCTAAAGCCTAGACCCTGCAATCGAAAGTTCTGTCTATTCAATAGGGAGAAACTGCCTACATCCGTGTTAAAGTTGATGGTCCAAGAAGTCCAAGCTATGGAAGATCTCGGTCACGCAGCCGTAGTCGTAGCAGAAGCCGTAGTCGAAGCAACAGCAGAAGCCGCAGTTATTCCCCAAGAAGAAGCAGAGGATCTCCACGCTACTCTCCCCGTCACAGCAGATCCCGTTCTCGTACATAAATGATCACTAGCAATGATCTTTTTGTAGAACCCCATGTTGTACACAGTTTTCCTTTACTCAGTACAGTCTCTTTTTTCTTTTTTTTTTCTTTTTTCTTTTTTTTTTAATTCAAACTGTTTTATTCAAATTGGCTGAAGTGTTGAATTGCATTCTTGTGTAAAATCCCTAGTGAGTATTTGCTCCTTAACATCAACATTCCCCCCATGTCTTTGGTAAACTGTATTTTAATTGATGTCAGTCAGGGCTGTTCCAATTTAGTTATAGTTACATACCAACATTCTTCAAACTGTGGTATTGCTGTGTAAATGTCTCAGTGTTCGGCTATGGCTTATACAAGCTGGGGATGTTGGGATGTTTGTGGCTAACTTGTCTCTTCTGGGGGATCTTATATTTTATCTTGCCTTTTCGTGTGTCTTTCTGTAGACATATCTGAAGAGATGGATTAAGAATGCTTTGGATTAAAGGATTGTGGAGCACATGTCAATCATTTTAGGATTGTCAAAAGGAGGATTGAGGAGGATCAGATCAAAAATGGAGGCAATGGTATGACTCCAAGTGCTATTGTCACAGATGAAATTGGCAGTATTGACCTTATACTGAGAGACAGGTTAATTGAGTACATGCACCTACTTGTCACTTCAGGCATGTTTTAGTTATTGCAGACTACAATTGCTCTTTCCTTTAAGAACATTTTTTGGAGAATTGTGGCTAAATACTTGCTTTTGTAATTCTTTATTCCATTCTCGTTTTTTAAAGGAATAAACTGGGACGGGGTGGGAGTGCTGGTTTACTTTGTCATGCAGCATTTGGTTACAAGTGTTAATGTTATGTAGTATTTGTACACTTGTAGATAAAGGATATCTTCAAATCAGATAGAGTATAATATCAATACTGCTAAAGTCTGCATGTCCTCTGTGTGACTGATACAGCGTTGCTATTTCATTTTTTTTAAAGTACCAGAATGAAAGCAAAATAGAAAACATAGATGGGAATAATTTCTTAAGTCTCAGCCCTTCCCCTCAGACTAATTCAGAATTGACTCACCAGTATGTTTGAAAACTTCAGTTAGTTAATTTTGTTACCTTCCAGACGGGAGTACTAGCTATAGTTTAGACATACAGTAGGCGGATAGCTTTAGCAGTAAACTTTCCTGATTTCATAAACATTTTTTGCAACCACAAAACCTGTAGTTTACCACCGTACAAGCAATGTTGGCATTTTCAGTTTACATATGTAAATATTACAATGTTTCCTCCAAATAATAATTAACATTTCTAGAAATTATCTGAGCATCACCATTCAAAAGTTTGTTTTGGGGAATTGATAGTTATTAATGTACATCTTTATTAATTGATGGCAAACATAACTGATCATTCCCCAGAATCCTATTTTTTCATTACAGTATCTAACTTTTTGCCTCCTCTTTTTTGGTTTTGCTGGTTATAAAGGTTTGGATTGGAGAGGGCTCACTGGATCCCAATCCTTGGAGCTGGATCATTGGATTCAAATCATAATGTGGATAGGATAGGGAGGCTGAATTACAAGGATTCATGGAGCGGGATCAAATTACCAGGAACATAGGAGTGGATTCCTGCCCCAACCAAACCGCATTCGTGTGGATATTTTTTTATTCAACTCAATTGGCTATTCCAAAGAATTTTTTTTTTCCTATTTTTGACGATTGGAGCCCTTAAGATGCGCGATGGAGTTTTTCATTTTTTGGTAAAAGGAGCAAAGCGAGGACCTGGAGAGGTACGCTGGAGCAATCTCCTTGGAAGGATTCAGCACGAGTAGATGGTAAACATTAAAGGGGAAAAGGGGGGGTTGTTTAAAAAAAATAAAAAGTAAATCAATAAGTTGTTTCTCTAAATTTAAAGTCAAAATTGGAGTTAAAGATTAAGTAGGTTTTCAATTGGCTATTGCCTTTTTTCTTTAACAAATAAAATTTTTAAAAAAACATGCATGGTTGTCATTATTTGTTGATAAGAATCTTAACCTTTGACTGCTTTCCCTGAGGAAATGTAGCATTACATTTTGAAAGTGTTCAGACGAAAGAGTTCATTTTTCGGCAAAGACTATTTCGCAGAAGGGGTTGATGTCTGAGTATCAGTTCAGTCGTCTTAAAGTCAAGGAGATGGGCAGAATTAGTCACAAGACTAGGTGGATGGGAAGAATAAATTTTAATGGCTTTTAAAAGAGGATGCTCTAATGTTATTGGCATCAAAGCTCTTCTAAAGAGATTACAAATTAAAAAGCATAGGATGGAGCAGGCTCGTTGGTTATGTAAGAGGGGAGAAACAAAAAGCCTGATGGAGTGAAGTGGGTGGAAGGTTCCTCGGTGCGCGCGTCCCCGGGGCGGCGGGCTCGCCGCGCGCAGGAGGTGAGTGCAGGTTATCGAGGAACGGGGTTGTGGGCAGTAGGTCACCCAGCCCTAATCATTAAACCATTACTGCATCGTGTAGGTGGCAGGTAGTAATATCACTCGTTTGCTCAGCTCGAGCCTGGGCTATCAAGGGTAGGAGTTGTATAAACACCTTAAGTACACAAATATTACCACTTCGTTGATGAAATAGCTGCTTATGTTTGGATATGGGTTAAATTTACAGTGAATTAATAATCAGCACTTGAATAGAAGAATCTCTAATAAGCAGACTCAGTGTGGGGGGTTACATTAATGGTTAAGTGGGGTAGCTGTATAAATATGTGCTCTTGGTTTTCACAGGCAGCCTTGGAGGCTAAAAAGGGAAAGAGCCTCCGGAATGGAGCAGGCCGGGATGGCTGAATGTCCAGGTTGGAATCCTGCACTCGTGCTTGGGGTGAGATGTGCAGATTGAGGGTTGAAATGCAGCGTGCTGGCACGTGTAGCGCTTGTATACGGTGACAAATGGAATAATTTGTTACGAAAGGGTATCCCCTTGCAGAAATACTATATTGCCACAGGGGTGTGTGTGTGTACATATAAATATATATATATATATGAGATGTATTTTTTGCCAAAGCTGATGCCAGTGTGAGTAGGAAGTAGAAGCAGGGCTTTGCGGGGAGGACAATGAAGGCTGTTAGTCACAGCACTGCCTTAGTTTGGGTGCTCCGGAGCCATGGGGATCTGCCAGCTGGAAAAGGCCTGGAAAGGAGCAGGAGCGCTGGCTCCTGCGTGGGTGCAGGCAGCGCATCCTGCAGCGGGACTGGAGCTGTGCTGGGACCTGCTATTAAAGCAGGGGAAAAGCAGCCTCAGACTGCTCAAAGTTCTCAAAGCTTTGGGGTGTCTGTGCGGTCCTGGTTAGCGGCATCCAGAGTGCTGTGCTGGAGCAGGCGGCCACGCACCTGCTCTGGGACATGCAGGGAAGCAGAACTTGTTCTGCAAGGGGGACCTGGAAAGAGTTATTTGCTTAAGCTGAGAGCAGGCGGCTCCTGCCTGCACACAGGCTGGACCAGGAGAGGAGGAGGAGGAGGAGGAGGAGGAGGGCAGGGGTGCTGGAGCCTGTGAAGGGAGGGGGCTGCGTGGTCTTGTGTGCGAAATAGGGGATTCGGGTTCTCTACGGGAAGCCGCTGCCCAGCCGCTCGTGCTGGGCCATCAGGAGTTAGTTAATGAGCCAAACAGCAATGCACGGGCTGGTTCAGCTCATCCCAGAGGAGGAAGGGCAGCGCGGGGGAGCTGCGGCGCCGCAGGTGTGAGCGAGGCTCCTGGCAGGACGCGCTGCTGCTGCGGAGGGAGCCGAGCTGTGCGGAGAGGGACCGGCGCTCGCGGGCTGGGGG